AGGCAGGGTGCTCAGGTCTCCAGAGAAAAGTATTCTGCTCTGGAGAATAACTACAGTTTCAATGATCAGCAAAATGTAATGCTACAGCATATGCCTTCGCAGGCATAGATTTGTTAAAAATCATGTGAACATATTAGGGAATCTAATGAGAATCAGGAAGAAAAACTTTACTATTGCAAATGAAGGGACAGTCTCCTTTAGTTTTGGATTTTATGAGTGTTTTCACATGACCATAATTATAGCTAAAAACAGCTGTTTTCACTTAACAGAGGATCATACTTATCTAGATTTCCAAAGACTTTAGAACAGTAATATTAATGGTTACACCAAATAGCCCTGTGAAGATGGTGCTAAAGCATTCTCTGGATCAGGAGGAGGCAATTAGGATGGGTGTCCCCACAGAGACTGGTTCTTCCATGATGTGGAGACACCCAGGGCTGCAGTAATTGGATAATGAAGTAAAAAGCAAGGGAACAGCGAGAGCAAAGAATCATTATTCTTCAGATGCCCAGAGAGCACAGAGCTGGTCATGGCTGACAAAGTTAGCAGTCCCTTGAGGTGGGAACTGTAAGGAGGACTACAAATGTCACTATCAGTTGGTACATATTTTCCCTCTTTACTGGGTTTCTGGAATCCTCCATCAGGCTAGAAGGGACAGAACAAAAGGACAGGTCTCTGGAGAGGAAAAGGAAGCTAACTTGGTTTAACTTGGAAGGTATTTAGCACAGTACTTGGCATACAGTCTATCTTCCTTGACATTATCATAGCCAGAGTGCTAAACAGTGAACATCACTGTGGTTCTCGGTCCTACTGGCTTCCATTTTTGGTCCAGTAATTCAGATTCTAGAGGCCCATTGCAAGACCTCTGTGGCTGGACGTTCTTCCGCTTTTGGAGAAGCACTCTTCTCTTTCTAAAAGGGTTTACCTGCTTCTCAGAGTCTGGCTGGGCTTCCTCAGGAACACCTGCCTGCTCCTGGGTGGCTGACCTCTTATCTAGTTTGGACTGGCATTTCTCCTCCCAGGCAACATCTCCCTCAGAATCCCTTCTTTTCGTGTCTCCTCTACTCAGGACTGCTCTCAAACACACATTCATTCTTGGCCAGGGTCGGAAAGCAAGGAGCCTGAGGGATGCCAGGGTAACAGGGTCCACAGAGTAAGTGAGAGTTTGTGGGTGTTTTCAGGTTCACTTTTCTCCCTAAGACAGAGCTTCCCAGTGACAGCTTACATCAAACCATGTGCTTCTGACCTCACTCCCAGTGCTATCTCAGAACAGAGCCTGCAGAGCCGCCTGGCTCCTCCGTGGCTGGTTCTGCTGTGCAAGAACACCACAGGGGGCATGGTGGGCTACGCACGGTGCCTTTGCTCAAGCTGTGTCCCTGCAGGGTGTGCCCACAGGAAGGGCATGGCTCTCATTAGTGCAAAGGCAGAGAGTGTGCTTGCTCAGCCCTGCGTAAGCTCCTTAATGAGAAAAGTGCATGCATTTTCAGAGGATGAATTAGCATTAGGGGGAAAGTTTGCTTTGTCTTTAAAACTTCCTGGATGAAATCTGTGACCAATTTTAAGAAGGCTAGGCTTCAGAGCAGTGTGTAGGAGGAACACACACACATCTTATTACACTTGGAGACACTCATTCATCACACCCACTCTGTACTGCCAGTTTCTCTCCCAAATCAGCAACAATTCCCAGACACTTAAAACACTTAACATTTTATACTGTGCTTACTACAACTAACAGTATCATCAACTGTTAGTAGAAATAGCTATAGGTAGATAAACTCACTGTGATCCCAGACCTTTACAAGTCTAGCGCAGAATGTTCACCATAGTAAACAACAATCAAGAAACTGAAAAACTATGAATGCTTTCACACTTCAGTGGTCCACACTCTTTGCTTCATGTTAACTTCAGTTCCGCAGTCAGAGAAAGCAGCTTCCTGCATTTCCTATGTGTACTACAATTTTGCTTTTTTGCCATCATCTGTGTCCCTGTCTCAAAGGGAAAACAGATTTACGATATATAAAGTCATTTTGGTATTTAAGAGACCCAGCTGCCATAGATGTTGTCCGAGAAACACTGGATCACCTTGCGCTCCGCAGCGAGAATCACGTGCACAGTACGAGAGCCGCAGCCAAGCCCTTGTGAACGGAGTGCTGGGAGGGCATCCAGGTTGAGAGAACCATCAAAAAGCTCACTCTCTAAAACGTCTAAACACGTCTCCACCTCCCTCGCCAAAGTATAACAAATATGACAACGTTTTCTTAATGACATAGCACATTAAGAAAGAACAATGGCTTTGAAATTAAGAGGACTGGGTTTGACTCATCGGGTCAACATACCCTTGGAGAAAGACCTTTATCATTCTCTGTACCTTCCTGGGCTGCCATCGTTATGATGGGACCCCCGCACTCCTCGGAGCTGTCGAGGTTAGGTCGACAGCACACGCAAAGTGCCAGGCAGGGCCCTGGCTCCTGCAGACGGTGCTCCATGAGATGCCAGCCCTCTACTGTGCCCTTAGCACACACTCTGAACGGTTGAGTTATTATGTGTGCTGGCTTGTCCTCTTCTGGGTGCACATGTCAAGAATGAATCACTGGGCTCAGAATAAATGCAACCCGGGTCTAATACCAGACACCTAAATATATTTTTTTTTCTCATTTTGGCTTTCTTTCTTCTCATAAAAGTGAAATATGAGCATCTGACTCCAAGGCAGTGGGATGTGGCTGCCCTACTGCCAACCTCGTCCCTCTTCCCAAGGGTTCTTCACCCTCAGGAAGTTGGCTCCCCGTGTGCAGTGTTCAGCACCTGGTTCATAGACCTCCAGCGGCAGGCTGTTTATACACCCGTGAGAGGACCCACGGGGCAATCAAGGCAAAAGTCAGGCAGCCACTTAAACTGGCCCTGGGTTTTACCTCAGCCTTTTGTTTACTAATCATTTAAATGTGCTTTGTAGCCTCCAGCCTCTGAGCTTAAAAGATAGTTAATGAAGCTCAGTGCTGGGACTACTTATCAGAAAACCAAGATTTGCTCTTTCATCCTCATTACATCCCAGTAAAGTGTAAACTATGGATTATCAACCACACTTCAGAGATGGGCAGATGCAGGTGTGGCTGTAATTGAGGTGTGAAGAGAGAAATACACATAAGAAGCAATGTACAACTGGTATCTTTATTCATATCTGTAAACCAAAATGCATAAACCACATCGTTTACTCACTTCACTAGGAATATGTTCGGGCAACTCTGTGAACGATAACTGTCTCCCTTATTTCCCAAGGCTTGAAATCTGGAGGGGCTGACCCTAAGCTTGTCACCTGTCTTCTTTCCAACCCCCTTTGCACTTGCTCCTTGATGGATGATTTTTTCCCCCTTTCTACCTACTATTTTCATTTCAGCTGCCAAAGTTACCTCAATGATTCCGTGAAACATTTCTCAGACTCCACTAGCTCTAGAAAAGAGAATGGATAATATCATACACTTCAGTAAGCCTCCAAAGAAGGAAATTTAGTAGAAGAGTGAACTTCCATCTTTCTTCAACAAATCCCACTGTGCAGGTCTGTACCGATGGCCCTGGGTGACTGCACCCTCCCGTTTGTCCCCACTGTGTCTCATGTTCTGTCCCCTCAGAGAGAGGATATATAATCTGTATATGCTTCCTTACCCCACCAGGATGTGAGCCTGTCAAGAGAAGATGCCCTGATTTTAGCACAGAAGACACCGAACATAAGTTGGATGATATGTAATTAAAGAACAAAACTTTATAAAAGAGGATAAATATGCAGACTCTGTCTGCATTGATTCAGTTGAGTAGTTCTGAAATTAAAATGGGGGAAAGGGAGTAAAATAGGTGAGTAGGTCAAAGGTACACACTTCCAGTTATAAGATAAATAAGTCCCGGAGATGTAATGAACAGCATGGAAACTATAGTTAACGATACTGTATTGTGCATTTGACAGATGTTAAGAGAGTAGAATTAAAAGTCCTCGTCACAAGAAAAAAAAAAAACTGCAGTTATGTGTGGTGATGGATGTTAACTAAACTTACTGTAGTAATGATTTCATAATATATACATATATCAAACAAATATCAATTATATCTTGATTAAAAAATAACTTATAAAGGCAAGGTTTTGTGTTTTAATAAGTACTTCACTAACAAAAAACCTAGTTAAAAACCACAAAGCTTCAGATCTGAATTCATATTATCTTTATGCAGTTTTGTTTCAATTTGCTCTGATAGTTGTACTCTGACATGACTCTTGTATTCTATTAGTTGTCATTATGACTCTTTCATCAGAGAGAGAGAGAGAGAGGGAAGGAGAGAGAGAGGGAGGGGGAGAGGGAAAGAGAGAGGGGGAGGGAGAGAGAGAGGGAGGGGGAGAGGGAAAGAGAGAGGGGGAGGGAGAGAGAGAGGGAGGGGGGAGAGGGAAAGAAAGAAAGAGAGGGAGGGAGTGGGGGAAGAGGGAGAGAGAGAGACTGATATTCTCTGGAGATGCCTGCTAGTCTCACAACAATTTTAGTAATGAACAATCTTACCTTTCAAAACACCAAATTGTAATTTATAACTTGACACACCAACTCTGAGATATATGTGGATGACAGGGTGCCAAGGTGCCAGACATAGCCTTTTGGGACTTTACATATTTTTTGGTCTTGTTTATAAGCCAATAAAGACTAGATGGAGTCACTGAGCTTCAGTGATAACAATGAAAATTCAAGTTACCTTGAGAACTCCCATAGGATAGTTCTTTAGGATATTTTAAAATGACACCAACATACCACTGAGCTAAGATCAAAATATTATGTTTCCTGAGTCCTATTTAAAATCATACTGTTTTACTTACCTTTCCATCATTTTAGTTATAAAATTAAACATGTGAAATTTTTTTAAACATCAAAATGAATAACAAGAAAACAATAACTAAACCTTATGCCTCGAGGAGACTCTCCCCTGATTTGACACAGCTAAAACGGTCAGCCTGTTCGATGGCGTCTTGTACCATACCTGTCCTGTGTATGCAAACTCCAGGGCCTGCTTTAAGCCAAGGCTGGTCACACCATGTAAATTCACTTCATCGGCTCCGCTTTCCACCATACAAAGGCTGAACATTGCCTGGGGCGGGCAAAAAGGGAGAAACAGAGTTATGAGCCTTAAAAAGCAAGGGGACAAGACAAAGTCCTAGAGACCCTAGGAAAGAGAAAAGTTTTACAAGTTCAAGGTTTCGGAGTCTGCAATGCTTTGACATAGTTTATTTGCACAAACCACCGCACCGTCCCACCAGGCACAGTAACACACAGCAGCACACCCCACAGGCGACCCTCACTCCCGCAGCCCTCCGGTGGGGCGACTGCGTGCAGACTCACCATTGAACTCATCCTCTCCGTCCTGCGGTCTCACCGCTCCCATGAGGCGTGTGGTAACCCAAACATTCTTGCCCAGGGGACACGGGAAGTAGCACCCTTGTCTCCAGCTGTTCTTCCTTGATTCTGTCCCACCTCCAGAACATACCTCATTCTCTTTGGCTACATTATCACACACCATGGCTCCTGGACTGGCAACATCAGTGTAGCCCAGGAAATTGTTATAGATTCTTGGGGCTGGGGTCTCAGGGCCAACTGAATCAGAAACTCGAAATGGGGTCCAGCAATCTGTGTTGTCATGTGTCCCAGAGGACTCCAATGCTCTCTTGATTTTGGGAACTAGTGTTTAAGTAATTCATTGAAAATCAATCTGCCCCCAAACTAATTCTCCAAATGACCAACTTACTGAAAAATCAGTTCTTGCCCTGAATCATCAATATGTCAAATGGAACCTGAAAATTAAAAAAAAACTAAACCTTGCCAAATTAAACAAATGCATGGGTTTGCCCCTCCCCCACAAAAGCCTTTAACAAGTTTGACTTAACAGGTATAAAGAGAATATTCAATTTTATGTTACTGTTAAAGAAATACACTATTTAGACTATATAGGTCTGTGTCATGAAGAATTAACCTAACCCAAAGAAAGGTCTGCCTTTGCCCTGGGCCTCTGGAATGTGATCTCTAGCCCCTTGAATATCCTACCTTTTTGTTCATTGGGGGACTTTGTCCATCAACAATCTAGGAACGTGATTTATGATGGGGGTGTGGGGCCACACCTGTCGGTTCTGACCTCCAGAAGAACTAGAGACTAAAGGTATTAACTTGAGCTCCAGGAGAGTCTGGAGACGAAAGGTCAGGCACACAGGCAGTCTGGGATTGAGCCCCAGCAAAACTGCTGGACACCACAAGCGTGGGTGAGCGTCCCTGGTTGGAGTCCTCTGTGCACACGGTCGCACAGCATAGAGGAGGCAGCACTCCGACCAGCAGGCAGGTGGCCAGCGGCTCGTATTTGGTCCCCCTCTGCCATACGCGCTTCTTGCCTTGGCCGGTTCTAATTTGCATCCTTCCCCTGTAATAAGCCAAATCCACGAGTATGAACACTTTCAGTGGCTTCTGTGATTCTGTCTAGCAAATTATTGAACAGGAGAGCAGTTTTAGGAATCCCCTCCAACTTGCAATTGGTGTCAGGATGAAAGAAGTCTAGGGGACTGTACTTTCAGATTTTGCAGTTTGGCTAACTTCACAAAAGAAAAACATACAACTGACAAACAACAATGGCACAACACTCCCACCTCTATGTGGTAATAGTTTAGTTCACCCTAAATCTTTTTAATTTAAAAAATGTCATATTTTGTTTTGCCAGTGTATTAATAGGCACCTTTTAGCAATTTTATTTTGATACATTTATTTTTGATCCTTATAATTCTATACATTTTAAATTTAGAATATATTTCCCTTTCAGAAATTTACTTTATCTTAAATAAAATCTAATCTTTAAAATCTAACCTTTGAAATTGATCCCCTAGAATCTGTTAAGGGCGAATGGTCAATATGGTAAGTTTGGCAACCTTGTTAGTTAGTGAGATAATCTCACTTCCCACTGGTGTCACGGGCAGTTAGGGTACTAGAGGGGAGGGTCAGAGCACTAGACTTGAAGTCGCATAATCCTTGGTTTGGTGAAGCACAGTGGTTAAGGGTGAACCTGTAACCAAACAATTCTGGGTGCAATCACTGACAAGTGACTATGACAAACACGTACCCTGTGACTCACTTTCTTATCTGAAAGAGTGGGGCTAGTGAACCTGTTTGAAGATTATATGACAGCACCCAGTACATAGCCTGATAACAGGCAAGCTCTTGGTGAAATTTATATTTTGTGATAATAAAACAGAAAGAAGTTTCTTTTATACATTTCTCTCATTAAAAGGATTGATACATTAGAAGTACCAGTTTCTGGGTTTTATTCGGAAATCAAGTGTGGCCATATATAAAAAATGCTAACAGGAAACTGACTTTAATGTTAAATGGATTCTGCTTATGCATTGGTAGAAGATCTGAAATTTTAGAATTAAAAGCACAGGTCACAATAAAAACAATCTTTCAATTTGTGTAATTCTGAATTTGCTTCCAGACTTCTTATAGCCACTTTTAAAAAAACATAAAAGAAATTTCAGTTGTTTTCAATGTCTGTTTTTTATTACATTGGTGTTTCAAGTTTTCATATTCCTACACTAATTTCCTTTTCCATATCCTCTAAGCTAAAATTGCACCTGACAGGGTGACCAGCTGCTCTCCATCACCCCATGTACAGAGAGCAGAGATAGCTCAGGCTGTAGGATAATTATCTGGGTTAATGAAATGGAAAAAAGTTCCTGAGAGCAAAAGTTAAGTAACAGAGCAAGCTGCCAAGGGAGTTTTGTGAATCTGCTTTCATAGGTGTCTTTCAAAAGCAACCAGGGCAATTGTCATTGAACAGTATCCTCAACCAGAGCGTTGTGAGCTACTGAACTTGAAGCCCAGCTTGACAGAGTTGGAGCATGAACACAACCTCTTAAATAATGTACATGTATGTTTGAACATGTTTGCATAAGCAATAACAAAACACCAAATAGGTCACTGAGGCTGTATATTACAGGGTATGACTCTAGAGACTATTCATTTTACTCCGTTTACACAGTATTATTTGTATCATCACAATGGACATGTGTTGCCCGTGTATTTCTAACCACCGCCTTTTGAAGACTTTATTTTTAATGTTCCAGACTGTGCAGGAAGACACATCTGATTTCAATCCTAGTTCTATAACCTACTGGTCATGTAGGCATTTTACCTTGAATATGTGACCTTGGCTAATTTGCTAACTTCTCTAAACCTCAGGCCCCTTATCTATAAAATGAGGATCATACCAACCTCACAGGGTTGTCTTGAGGTTTAGAGACAATTATGCTTAAGGTAAAGCATCATACTTGGCACATAGTAGATGTTTAATAAATAGACACTGTTATTCTAATCTACACTGATTGTAATACTCTACTCTCCCATATCTCCTACTGGTCCCAATTGGACTGAGAGTTAAGAAACAACCCCTTCCCCTCCCCTCTGCCCAAATATATTCCTTTCAAAAACTTTCCTAATGACAATCCTACTCAAAATTCCTATGGCTGGCTGCAGGACTTCACTTTCCCCACATACTCCTACAGCATACTGTGAGGAGAGACCCCATGATAAAAACCATCACCGCCATTTCCATAAACACATCAATTCCACTCTGATATCACATTATACAGTTTTAGAAATTTAATGTTATGAACTTAATGCATCATAATGTTTGAAAATTAGAAAATTGGTTAATTATAAAAAACTAACTATTAAATCAAGGTATCAATGTCTTTAACAAACTTACAAGGCACCTCAATTGAGAAAAGGCTCACAGTATACCACCAAAGTAAGAAAGAGCCTGGCCATTTGCCAGAGTGAAACACCAGCTGCCGAGGCTGCCTGAGCTGGTGAAACAATGTCTGGAGTCCTGCCCGAGCCCATGGGGAAAAACGAAAAGTCTCTTTGGTAGCAAGAGAGGTGATGAGACCAAGAGAGCTATCTTTCAGCATCGATCTTGAAAAGGCAAACTAAACTTCATAAAAGTGGGTTCCATGCCTTCCTTATTCACTGTGGCTCCTAGACCCTAGCATTGCATGCATGCAACAAACACGGGTGAATGAATAGATGGATGAACAAACAAGCTCTTCAAAAATTCAGCTGTTGGTGATGTCCAGCTGTTCTACACTGTAAACAAAAAGAACTCATTTGACATAGGGAAGAATTGTGATGATGTAAGATGTTTTAGGCCCTGGGATATGGAACATAGCTAAAGTTAAAGAGAAAGAGTATCTACCATAAGCTAAATACAAATACGTTCAAAGCTAGACATTTGGAAAAAGTTAAGAACATATGGCAATGTCCTCTATTAAGCCACATTCTGCCAAAGCATGGGATACAGTTGTGCCTACAGACATGAAAGCATTGCACAGGCTCTTCCCTGGTTCACACTGATTGTCCTGGGAGAGTCTTGGCCAGGCTGAGACTGATGTTTTGGCACAACTCACTTCTGGCTGGTAATGTGCGGCCACCTCCACAAATCTTTCTAACTAAAACCCAGTCGGTGAGACAACAGTCCACTGTAAGTGCCTACGTCAGAGAGAGAGGTCTGGGTTTATAGTGTGTCATTTCTCCTGTATTTCACACAGAAATGACACAAATTGAGTCCTAATATCGCAGCACATGACTGAAGTTCCCTTGAGTCACGTTACTTGTCATGTAGTCACAGGATGAGCTATGACCAATTTTAGGCTGATATGTTATACCACAAAACTGACCAATAAAAAGTCAAAGATCAGTAGAATAACAGGTTACAACACTTTCTCAACCACTTAGAGTGGGTGAAATACGTTCCTTTTATGTGTAGCTTTGAAGTTAATACTAGACATGGGCAAAATGGACTGTGAATTCTGTTTACAGGGAATCCAATTTCTTTTACAGGTGAAATAACTGGATCGTTTTAGGCACATTCAACCCTTATCTTTGATGAGATAGTTAAATAAAAGTAAACAGCATGTTTAAAAAAGTTGTTTTAAAAAGCCTCCTGTATGTGGAATCTAATGTACAAAATAGATCCAGAGACACAGAAGTATGGAACAGGCTGATGAACCTCAGAGGGAAGGGAGAGGGTGGGAAGAGAGTAACCAAAAAATTTAC